TTCACTCGACGCTTATGACTGTCAAACCACTGAAGTGACGTGCACCGGGCTCGAACATGTGGCAGATCCCGGTTGTCGTTTGGACAGAGACACGGTCTGAGGTTTCTGCCTGAGGCCCAGCCTGGGGAGAGATGTAATTGATGTTCGTGCAGCCGGTGCTACGAATCACACTGTCGAACCTTGCGATCTCCATCCTGGTGTGCGTTCTTCTTTGCATTTTGTCCATCACCGCATAACCGGAGCCAGTGTCACCAGTCGGACCGGCTTAGTGAGAGAGGGGTGCTGTGCGTTGGCATGGTTCGGGCGAACCTTGCGTTCTTGTGAAAGTCGGGCGGCCATTGTTCCCAGCGCCGCTGAAGATACGAGGCGCGCGTCATACGACCTGGCATTCCCTCGTGTTGTATCGATGGGCATTGAGGCAGACCGCCGGCGCTAGACTCACAGATACGGATACGCTAGTTGAGCATTCGTTCGCGTTGTTATCTACCTACCTAGGTAGGGGAAGTACGTCAAAGCATTCTGAAGATGACTGTAAGAGTCAATACATGTACTGACAGTCATTCGGGGTCCCGTCAGGACCCAAGCTTTCTTCGGTGCGCACGTTCCGCCCTGCAATCGTCCGTCTACCGACTCCAGTGTCGGGCATTTGATCCTTGGCTGAAACCCTCAATGACGCTCTTTTGCCCCGTACGGCTGCGGGACTCGGCCGAAACCCCCTTCCTCCGTGGACGCTTGACTGCCGCCCGCTGACAGTTGGTGATGTTGACGCCCCTCCGACGTCCAGGCCACCGGTTGCCATCACCGAATGTCCTTCACCATGCTGGGTCCAGCAGGCAGGCACGCAGCTCAAAGCGGGTCGTGGGCTGCACTTGCTCCACAGGCGGGAGGAATGGGCACGTCGGCCCCTCCTGCCTTGTGTTGCGCACCTCGTTGCTTTGATCGACGAATCAGAGGTTACATGTACATGGTACTCACGACACTGAGCTGAGCCACGTCACTGGAAGCTCCACAACTCTTGACATGTCCCCCACGACTTCCATCCCACAACTTGGATAGAAGTGGCAGGAAAACGAGGCGCCAAAGGCACGACAACCATGACGCATACTTCAAGTATCATTACCCTCGATAACCTCGACGATTTGCCACCATGGGTTCCCGACGCTGCGAGCCACTTGTTCGCCATTGTCGATATGGGATCAAACGGCATCAGGTTCACCATCACGGACATGACACCACCAAACTCACGCCTCCTACGTTGCATCTTTCGTGAAAGAGCCGACATTTCTCTTTACGACGCTCTCAACTCCAATGCCGATCGAGCCTCAGGCGCTGCCTTGTCCTTTCCGCTAGAGACCATCGTTCAAGTTTCCGAGACTCTCGCCCGCTTCCGCCGCATCGCCAGCTCGTATGGGGTCCCGGAAGCCAACTTTTCGGTCCTCGCCACCGAGGCCATGCGCCGCGCCGCCAATGCCGCCGATATGCTAGGTGCCATCCGGGAGTCATCGGGTCTTGACGTGCGCATTCTCGCCCCTGCCGTGGAAACTCTCTTTGGCGCCGTCATGGGTTCGCGTTCGGCCTTTGTCAACATTGATCGCGGTGGCTTGTTCCTCGACATGGGCGGCGGATCGGTGCAGATGACATGGGTCGACACCCGCCTGCCCTCGTACGAGATCGCTGCGGCCGCTGCCGGGGAAAGTATGCCTTTCGGCGCAGCGCGACTGATTCGCCTTCTCGAGGCTGAGCCTGCCGAGGTGCGGACCTCGGAGACGGGCAAGCTGCGTCAGACCATGCAGGCCGCCTTTGCGCGCCTCTGCGACACCTTTCCAGGCTGCCGAGAGCGCGCCGACAGCAGCGAGGGCCTCGATGTTTTCATGTGCGGCGGCGGTCTTCGAGGCTACGGGTGCATTCTGCAGCACTGCGATCGCATCCAGCCGTATCCCATCGCCTCTGTTGGCACCTATACCGTCACGGGTGGCTTCTTCAAGCAGACGGCCAAGATGCGCAAGGTCAATGACGAGTACGACGGCAAGATTTATGGCATGTCGAAACGCCGCCGACAGCAGTTCCCCGCCATTGCCGAGGTCGTCGAGGCTTTATCAAAGCCGTCTCAAACATCCGAACGGTGACATTCTGTGCTGGCTCGAATAGAGACGGGACCCTTTACATGAAGTTGCCCGAAAAGATCAGGGAGAGCAATCCCCTGGAAGTCTTGGCAGGGGTCGCCTCTGAGGACTTGCCTATAGCACACGCCGTTCTGGACATGCTGCGAAGTGCCGTGCCGCCTTCTGTAGAGATTGGGACAATACCCTCCATCTTCTCGCTGGGGCTAGGCTTGTTGTTCGTCCGCCAAATCTGGATGCACCAGGGCGAGGATGAGGACGCGAATGCCTCGTCCGCGCTGCACGAAGCCATCACGCGCGATCCTGGTGCTCCAGGTCTCACACACACTACTCGCTCCATCTTGGCTCTGGCGGTCTGTTCCCGTTGGGGCGCAAATCTCGGTCCCGTCGACACTGAGTTGCACCACAATCTCAAGAGGCTCCTGGGCGACATTGATGCCGAGGCCCCTTTCTGGGCCGACTACCTTGGCGCTGTAGCTGCGGTTCTGGTGGACATTGTTCCCGCGTGGCCGAGATCGCTCGATGCGATGACGACCAATATAAGGTGCGATTGTCGACCTACTGTGCAAATAGGAGGCGAATGACTGACATTTGAACCAGATTTGAGGCCACTGCAGACAAGACGAAAAAGGAACGTGACCGCATCAATCTGACGGTGTTCGTGTCGGCGGATGCAGCCAAGGGCATCGACACCGAGACTGTCAAGGAACGGTTTTCCAATGTCGGCAGGATGAAAGGCGAGAAGAAGCCCCACAAGAAGGTAAAAGTTCACATTGAGTTGATGAACCAGGACAAACCATGAGGATACCGAGACAAACCATGAGGACACCGAAAACACACTCGCAGCGTCAATACTTTCTGAAGTCATCATTATTCTCATTACATCATAATCATTACCCATGAGAAAACGCCGAAGAGAGAATCCCGTCGTCAAACTTTCTGCCTCGTATCAACCTGCCATCTCCATATCGTCCTCGTCGTCACTGCCTGGGTAGAGGTCGGGGCTGGGAATCAGCACCATTTCGACAGGGGCTCGTCCCCTTCCGCGTCGATTGCCGAGGCGCTTGACTTCAAGGTCAACGACCAGGGTCTTGAGAAGCCTGTCTAGCTCATTGGGCGAAGTCTGGATGTATTCGTCTGCCTTGAGGTTAGACGTGGAACAACAGGTACGCCAAGGGAAGGATGAACATACGGAAAGCCCCGCGCTCATGACGAGCATGCTGGAAGATATCGCCCACCTCGTGCCTCAGCGTCGACGATGGCATGTGAGTCGAGTCAAGGCACTGAATGCTGACTTTGAGGTTGCTTGCTTGGCGGTAGTGGCTGCCGTAAAATGACATGATGGCAACGTAGAGCTGCTCGGTTGCCGCTGTGCAGGCATCAAAGGCAGGGTGAACTGTGCGCAAGCGTTGTCAGCGCTGACTCTCCCACCCTGGCCAGGAGTATGACATACCATTGGCGAGCCTTCCAGCTTCCTTGAAAGTCTGGGTGAGGTCCTTGAAGGTGAAAATGAGCTGCCACAGAGCGGCCCACATGGGCGCCCTGTCCTTGGCCGGGATGCCGGACGGCTTGAGAAACTTGTCGAGCTCGTTGAAAATGTCGCGCTCGCAGGACTCGAGGGCTGACTTGACAATCTGGCGCAGCTCGGCGTGGATGAAAGGGGGCAGAGGGCTGTGGTGAGAAGTCTGAGCATGACGCCAGTACAGGGTGTCGACCCTCCAAATACGATACATGCACCTCATCTCGTGGATCTTGCGGATGAGACGGATCTGCGGCAGCGCCGTGCGGCTGGTGCCGGCCTTGATGTACTTCAAGATAAAGGTATCGATGGTGGCCTCGAAGCCATAGTGCCGGCCGGCGTGGCGCTCGGCGAGGATCTGGTGCTCGACCCACTCCACGAGCTGGCTGTGGAGCGGCACGCGGTCCCGGGGAAAGGCAATGACCTCGGCGCCGTTGCTCAGGCTGTGACACTTGCGGAAGACAGTCTTGAGGGTGGGCGACTGCAGATCGATGTCCGAGAAGCTGAGGAACACTTCCCTGAAGCCTTCGCCCGGGGCACACTTGGTCCTCAGGAGGGCCTGCTCCTGGTTGTACCTCAGGCCGGTGTCTGACTCTCACGTAAGTACTTGTTCTCCTGACAGAAGTGGGGGCATGTCCAATTGACTTACACCGCACAAAGGTTGTGTGCTTGGCGAGATCGGAAAGCGTCTTGCGCAGACAGGTCCTCTGGCACAGGGGAACGCCGTACTTGCCCTGGCAGGAGACGCACACCGTCTCGTCGGAGCACTTGAGTTTCTCGATACGGCACTTGATGCAGGCGCCGAGCTTGCGCACGCGGGCCGTCTCGGCTGGGTTCTTGACGTGGCGGGCGGCAGGGCTGCTCGGGCGACGGCTCCTCTTCTTGCGGCCGGACAGGCTCAGGGTCGAGTGCCGGGGCAGGTCCTGCGAGGGGTCGGCCTGGGGCCAGATGAGGTGCCCGTCGTGGCGGCGGGCGTCGGCGAGGGTCTTCTGGGTCGTCCCCTGGACCACGGCCTGCTGCTGATGGGGCTCCTCGGGGTCAATGTCCATGTCATAGGAGTCGGAGATGACGGAGGGCGAGGTGGCCGTGTCGTAGGCAGGGCCCGGGGTCAGCACGGAGGACGACTCGGAGCGGGAGCCGGCGTCATCGGAGCCGTCGCCGTAGTAGGCTGCCAGGTCAAAGTAGGCGTTGACGGGGTCCTCTTCTGAGACCAGCAGACGCCTCCCACGGGGGAGGGTCTGGAGGAGGGATCCAATCTCATGGGCGAGTGCCATGGTTCCGGGGTCCAAGTCAGGCGGAAGAGGGAAGGGGGGAGGGCAGGTGCTTGGATGACAGGGGCAAGCCGTTCTGGCAAAAGGGGAGGGATAGAGCAAAGGGGTCTGTCTGTATGGGCGAAGGGCTTCAGGAGGCTCTCTCTCGGACGACTCTCTTCTCGTGCTTTCACCGAGAAAATAAAAAGGAGGAGGACGAGGAGCAGGAGGGAGATGGTGAGCTTTTGTTCAGAGATGAAGCTGCGTAGTGCTTTCGATCGAAGGAGAAGAGAGTATATTGAACTGCCTTTTAGTCTACGCCATTGCGCACCCCTCCACCCCTTCCCCTCTGGCTCTCAAGCCGTGGTCCTGGTCGTTGTCGTCCATTTCTTTGGTGTTAGTTGATGCCGATGCCAGATTCGGACTGGTCCAGCCAATGGGCGTTGTCGATCGAGTTGGCACTGTACGAGGGCCCAATCAATGAGGAAGCGCTGCTTCACCGAAAAGTGTCTCGTTGCATTTGACTTTTGGGGCCCGCGACCCCACGGCCAGAACGGCGGCCCATCTCATCTGCTGCGGCGACGACCGTCGGCGTGTGTATGAGAGAGAGAGGGGACCTCACTCTTGGGAGGAGCAGTTGTCAGAGTGCTTGTGTGACTTGCGGTGGATCTTGGTCTCTTTTCGAAAGGGAAAGGAGGACAGTCGAATTGAGAGTTGGTCGCACAACGCCGCGGCTTCAAGACACGCCTGGCTCGCGTGGTGTAACCTGCCTGTCAGTCAAGGTCCCATCGTGGACATCTGTGGACACCGCGAGGGAGGCGTGCGACCATCGGGTTGCTGCAGGGCAATGCCAGAGGCAGCGGAAACCTCCCAGCTCCTATCCTTGAATAAAAAATAAGAGGAGCCAAAGAGTGCCCTGTCTTGCGTGAAACAAAGGGCCTCGGCATCAGGGACTGGGGGGGCGCCTGGGAAGCCGAAAAGTTCGATCGGGACAGGTATCAAAAGGGAAGGGTAGAGAGACGACAACAAATTTCAATCGACGCTTTTCGTCATTTTGTCCATGGGCAGCAGTCTCTTGTCCTTCTTAAAATAAAGGATCCCAAAGGATTTTTCCTCCCCAGCCAGCCCGAGAACCCCCCACCACCATTCGGCACCACCACCACTAACCCCCCCTTCCTTGCCTTGCCCCCTGTCCGTGGGAGGCCCCCCCCCCCCCCCTGATGACCTCGTCCGTTCCTCTGCCTGCAGTGCCGATGTGATCCAAAGGAGACCCAGCAGCCCGGAGCGCGCGGCGTTTCTGCGCGGCTTCTGCCGAGCCGGGGCAGGGGGGTGCGAGGCTCGTCCACGTATGACCCGGCGGCGAAGAGATGGCAGCAACGCGAGAACGGGCTTCCCTCCCTTGCTGCGGTAAGGTACCTATACGAGCGATTCGGGGAGGGAACATGTGATGCTGGCTGGTCAGTGCTGGGCATGGAGATGACGGGTGGTTGGTGATGGTCCCGGCTGTCTGGTTCGTGCGCCAGGGGGGAGGAGTGGTACCAGGGGCTTGGGACCGAGTGGCCGTGCTATGTGGGTTTTCCACCTTGTTCCTTTTTTTCCCCCCTTTCCTTCTTTATTTCCTTTGTTGGTGCGTGTGGATGCTTGGGGGTGTGTTCCTTTGGTCTTCCTGGGATTTTTCGCGATGCTGCTTGTATCGTCCTGGTGTACTTGTCTCGACTGTTTGGTCGGCGGAATTGGTGCCGGCTGGTGCCGACGGCGGCGGCTGGCTTACTTTTATGCACAAATGACATGACAGTGATGGAGATGTCATTGAATTCGTGATGGCTGCGAAATGTTGATGAATACCATGGAGAGACACGCTCGTCCGTTGATTTTTAAGTTGCCAAATATTTTATATCACTGGTTTCTGGCCACTTATCCAGAGTATATCCGTCTGACCGTCGAACGGCAGTGTAAGTCGATGTTTCCAACAAGATCCATCATGTCACTAAGGTAGTGTCACTAGCATTGGCTACTTGTGTTACTCCCAACAGCAGTCACCAGCTTGGCGTTTTAGCTCAAGTAAAATAAATCTGTTTCACTCATGGTTACATTCTGGCAGAGCACACTACCAAAGTCTTCACGCTCTTTCGCCAGTCTTATAGCGACTCGGCACTCTTCTCATCAACACAGGGCATTGCCGTTGCATAGACTTGTCAACTAACACCCCAACCATGAAACCTGCCCCCAGCTGCCGCCTCGTGGCTCCTCAGTGACTCCGCTTCACACGCTTGGCCGTCTTGAACTCCCCCGAGTACATCTTGAAGAATTCAGTCGGCTCGGTGGGGTGGGTTCCCGTGACGTCGTGGAACGCCGTCGTGCTGATATAGTTTGTCTTGCCCTCTCGCACGAGGCTGTAGTATTCGAGTATGTACTGCTGTTCGGCGTTGTCGCTCTCAGACTGGGCTCGCAGCACCTTTTTGGCTTCGGCTCTACTACGCTGTTACCAACTCAGCATTCCAACCACGCAAGGCCGCACTTACTGGGAGATGTTCTCAAATTCAATCTGCGTCCCGAGAGCCTCGGAAGCTGCCGTGGCCAGCTCCTTACCGGCGCAGAGCATGGGACCTGCGCGCATGGGTGAGTATGACTGCGCCTGAAGACGTCGACCTCGGTGCTTACCCGTGACAACCATCATCTGCCCACGATGCTTGTCGTCGAACCCGTGCTCGCCCTTGCCGCTGAGCACATGAGCGGCAACATTGGCAACATCCTATCATCACGTCAGCCAAATCTGGAGACTACTTGCCAAACCGATCAAAACACCTACACCCAGAGCCACGGGGGCGAACTTGTGGTTCTCGCCAATGGGCAGCGGGAGTATGCCCTCACTCTGCGCCTGCGGAGCGTAGAGCAAGAGATTCTCCGCGTAAAAACCAGCCCTGCACCAGCCGTCAGCAGACATTGCGGCCCCCAACACACAGAGCACGCAGCCTCTCACAACCTCACCTAATGACAACAGGCGAGTGGCCCAGCTGGGCAGACGAATCGCCCTTGTTGGCGAGCACCAGGCTCTCGAGCTCAATGAACTCGCGCAGCCTCGGCTGCCTCTTCTCGTCGGCATAGTCGCAGCCGACCGAGCTGATGAGGCACACGTTGGCGACGCCGGCCTTGCGCGCGGCGCGGGTCAGCTCGGCGGCAATGTCGACCTTGGTGTCGTTCGCCGGCGGGATGAGGCACAGCGTGTCGCAGCCCGTCTTCTGGAGCGTCTGCACGACGGTGCGCTCGCGGCCGGGCTTGTGGTGCGCGACCGTGGCGCCGAGCGATTCGAGCGCCTTGACGCGGTCCGAGGTCGGGTCCATGGTGAGGGCCGTCACCGAGTCGACTTTGCGCGAAAAGGGGTGCTTGAGCAGGAGCTCGGCGATGAGGAAGCCGGTTTGGCCCTCGGCGGCTGTGATGCAGACGTTGCGTGCCATGGTGGGAGTTGACGATACGGCGAATGCCTACTGGGTGATGTTTGGTGAGCCTTGTGAGTGTAGTGCTATGTTGTCAAGAGGTGGTATAGAATGCGCACTTTCGTGTGCAGTGGCTGTTATTCATAGTATACGGAGGTAGCAGGCCTCCAGGCCAAGACAGTTCACAGATCATCGGTGATGCCATGATTCGGCTGTTTGCTCGTCCACTGCTCAACGGCGCCCATGCGCAGTGCCGCTGAACTCATTCTGGCGTCATGAGAAAGAGACGGGACAGCCACCTACGACAGGCCACCCGTCATGTATAAACCCTCCTTTGGATCTCAAGTCCCGATTCTCAAGTCATAGGCCTATCGCGTACCCAGCAATCCATGCCTCGCGGCCGTGTGCAGACAGCACGGCATGCTGCACCAGGTACGCCCAGGCCAGGACTATTTCGACCGGGCCACGGTCATTGGTCTACATGCCTTCACAAGTGAGAAGGACCAGAGAGCCTCGTGGGAGCAATTGAAGCGTCGGAGCAAATCAGGAACGAGTGCAACCCCGGCCCGGAAACGATTGGATCGGCAGCCAGCCGGACCACAGTCCAGACCGCCACCGCCGGACTAGCGAAACATGTCCGGGCCATCGCCTCCGAGCTGTCAGACGTAGACTCGGCTAGCCAAGAATCTTTACCCCGCGTATCCAGCAGCCGGCAACCAATGGCACCAACGACGTTACCAGACCGGAGCATTACCGCGGCCGAGCTGTTGAGGCTATCGCCCAGCGCAGGCCCCCTCGTGTCATCACCAGCACATCACCATCAGCGGCATTCGCGCACCCCAAGCCGGCGTGCAGCTGGACAATGTGACCTTGCAGCTCGTCTCGGCTCGGAGGAGTTGTCATGACGCCAAGCCACCAGAAATCTTTCTACCACCCGTCTCGGACGAACGAGGAGTGAAGATGAGGCTATAAAAGTTCGGGCGCGGAGCCTACCCCGGACGGCCATGCTTCTTCGTTCTCGATATACCCCAAGCGCTTTTCTCCTGTCTAGTCCGTCTCTCACGTGCCCCAACGCCCATCATGAACGTCAACTCAAACCAGGTCGATCCGGCCCAGCACCCCCTCCGCGCCACGGCCATGGCCATCGGCAGCCAGGTCACGGGCGAAAGGCGGGCCCCGCGCGTGAGCCACATGCAGAGCGCCAACGAGGGGCCTGCCGACATTATCGGCAAGGTGTCTGGGGCGGTGCCTGGCGGCAAGCGCGAGGACGATGGCGCGTACTTTACGAATAATGAGGGCCACCCTCTGCCTGATCCGTGAGTTTCGTGGGCCTCAGAGCTACTGATGTCGTGGACTGTTGTCGTGGAAGCGTACTGACGGGCTGGTAGTGCTCATAGCAAGACGGTGGGTGGTATTCCGGTTGCCAGCGACATTCATCTTTTCCAGTAAGACATGTTTGACAGGGGTGGAAATGTAATTTATGCTCATCTTGGACGTACAGGAAGCAGCAGACCTTCAACCGGTCGAAGAACCTTGAGCGTATGTAGCGACCCGATTCAGAGGAGCGAGTACGTTGGCACTAAAGAGTATAGGCATGGTTCACCCGTGTGGCTCCGGGGCTTTTGGGTTTTTTGAATGCACCCACGATGTGACCGACTTGACGGTGAGTTGGTGTCCTTTCCTTGAAGACTGGAATAGTGAAGACTGGAATAGTGAAGACTGGAATAGTGAAGACTGGAATAGTGAAGACTGGAATAGTGAAGACTGGAATACTGACGACGCGCAGAAAGCAGACTTCCTCTCCTCCGTGGGCGAGAAGACTCCCGCGTTCGTCCGTTTCTCTACCGTCACCTTTGGTCGAGAGTTCCCCGACGAGGGCCGCAATCCTCGCGGCTTCGCCATCAAGCTGTACACGATGGAGGGCAACCAGGACATTGTCGGGCTCAACTTTGTAAACGGCAACCCCCATGACTTTTCAGAGACGTGAAAACCAGCTGATCAAGGGCAGCCCGTATTCTTCTGCCGTGACCCGCTCCAGGGCCCTGATGTCATCCGCTCGCAGAGCCGCAACCCGACCAACTTTCTGCTCGACTTTGACGCGCTCTTCGACCTGCTCGCCAACACGCCCGAATCGAACCACGCCGGCCTCATGTTCTTCAGCGACCACGGCACGCCGCAGGGCTGGCGCTTCAACCACGGCTACGGCTGCCACGCATTCAAGTGGGTGAACAAGGAGGGCAGGTTTGTCTACGTCAAGTACCACTTCATCGCCAAGCACGGGCAGAAGCAGTTCACCGACGGCGAGGCCGTGCAGATGTGCGGCGAGGACCCGGACTACTCGAAGCGAGATCTCTGGACGGCGATTGAAAAGGGCGAGGCGATTGAGTGGACGGCGCACGTGCAGGTGATGCAGCCCGAGGAGGCCGACGCCGACAAGCTCGGGTTCGACCCCTTTGACGTGACCAAGGTGTGGCCGCGCGGCCGGTTCCCGATGCGGCCGTACGGGCGCCTCGTGCTCAACAAGAACCCGGAGGACTTCCACCGCGACGTCGAGCAGGCGGCCTTCTCGCCGGGCAGCATGGTGCCGGGGATCGAGGACGCGCCGGACCCGCTGCTGCAGTTCCGCATGTTCTTCTACCGCGACGCGCAGTACCACCGCATCGGCGTCAACCTGCACCAGATCCCCGTCAACTGCCCGTTCATGGCGCAGTCGTACGCGCCGCTCAACTTTGACGGCGCCCTGCGGGCCGACGCCAACCACGCCGGCAACAAGCAGTACGCGCCCAACAGCTTCGCGCACAAGTTCCGGCCCGACGCGGCCGAGGCGCCGTACGCCGTCGGCGACAGCATCGTCAGCCGCCGCAGCCACTTTTGGCACGAGGGCAAGCGCAACGACTACGACCAGGCGACGGCCCTCTGGACCAGGGTCATGTCGCCGCAGGCGAGGCAGAACACGTGCCACAACACGGCCAAGTACCTCGGCCTCGTGCAGTACCCGGAGATCCAGGCCAAGTACCTCGCGCAGCTTTACAACATCTCGCCCGACTATGCGCAGGGCGTGTTTGATCGCCTGAGGGAGCACGCGTTCTCCATGGACGAGGTCAAGGCCAAGGCCGAGGATGCGCACACGTGGTACCGGGAGAAGAAGTTTTTGCCCTCGCACGAGAGCAAGCTCGCGGGGTATCCTGTTTCTGGATACAATTAGGAGTTGTGTGAAGTGACGAGTGTTCTCATTGTAGGCTCATCAATTGATTACCTTACCCAGGTGCTTCGCCTTGCGGTATCTTGTCTCAGTCAAGGCCGGCATCATGAAATCCGAACAACGGAGATGTTATAGTGGGTCCCGGCGGTGATGGACGGAGCTGCTCCGGCCGGGTGGGTCCCGGTGCCCTGTACCAAGTATCTGTGCCAGTAGTACCTAGTACCCGTACCATGACAAGGTCAGGTACCGTAACCCACTCCAAGCATAGATGGTGCCCCACTGAATGACCCCGCGGCCACTGCCTAGCGAGGCTGCCCACTGCAGCCCACTAAAACGTCACGACCTAGGCTTGCCAGGACCCTAGTGAGAGTTTCAGCGCCCCAACATTCTGGACCCTCCTCTCTGCTCTGACCTCTTCCGTTGGGCCTCTCATCGCCATCCCACGCACGCTGCCGAGCACGCATCGCGACATCTCCATCTCAAGGGAGCCGCAGTGACCGACATTTGCAAACACTCATCATGTCCTTCCTCGCCCACGTGCCCCTCCTCGGCCGCCTCGTCGCTGGCGCCGACGATGCCCCTCAGGCCATCGACCTGCCGCCCGTCGAGGTGCACAACGTCGAGACAGACGCCGAGAAGCGAGCGCGGTGCCTCAAGCACCTCATCAAGGCCAACCACGTCAACCACGCCATCGTCTACCACAACCTGCAGTTCGACAACCACGCCGCCCACATTCTCTGCTCGGCGTACCTCCTCGGCGCCTCGGAGAACCAGCTGCACAGCCTGTACGAGACGGTCTCGAAGGAGCTCGAGCCGTGGCAGGACTCCCCGGCCGAGGTCATCGAGGAGGACTGGCAGGACTTTCTCGGCGACAAGCGGTACCAGCGCGCCTATGTCGATTTCTTTGAAGACGGCCTCGCCCTGCAGTTCAACTATGACTGGAAGACGGTCGTGGCGCACTATCTGCTCAAGGGGGACCAGCCCCTGGTCCACGGGCTCATCGGCGGGCGTACGTCACTCGCTTCTTCTCTCTCTCTCTCTCTCTCTCTCCCTCTCTCTCCCTCTCTTCTCATGTTTAATTTGTGTTGATTGTTTCGGATGTCGTTCCTCGTCCACTGACAAAGACAGTCGGCCACCCCCTCATCCACCTGGGCTATGCCTACGAGATGAACGCCAAGGAGATCGCCATCGAGGCCCTCGCCCTCTCGTGCGTCCAGTACAACTACCTTCACAAGTACCTGGACGAACAAAAGTACACGAGGCCGGCGCCCTTCTCATCAACCTCGCCCGTCGACATCCTCGACAGGATGGCCAGCGACGCGCGCTTCGACGGCCTCTTCGCGACGCCGGGCTTCGACAACATCGACCTCCTCTTCGGCAAGCACGAGGACCTCGTGCTCGAGTACTGGAACGCCTGGGCCGTGGCCGCCGACGACGCCAGCGAGGACCCCGTCCGGCCGTTCCAACAGTCGCAGGAGGCGGCCGTCGCGCTGCTCGTGGCGACGGTGAAGCCCGGCACGCACGCCTACAACTTCTTCACGGTGCACCTGCTGACGACGAGCCACGCCGTGCGCATCCTGCTGCCGGTGCTGCCGGCCAGGTTCCACGTGGCCCTCGTGCGCGAGTGGTGGCTGTTGGCCGTGGCCGTGTATGCCGCCATGGGCCGGCCGCGCATCGACGAGGATAATGTGCAGCCCGTGCCGCAGGGCCGGGGGTGGGCGCATGTCGAGCACGAGGCGCTGCACTCGCGGCACGCGTCCGATGCGCATTATGTCAAAGGTATGCTCTGGTGCTCTGGGCGTGTTGTGTGTGTGGGACACGGGTACTGACGCGAGACAGCGATCCGGGCCATCAAGGAGGCGGCGAGGACGTGGGGTGACGTGCATGAGAGGTATCTCGCGGCGGCTGTGACATTTGTCGATGGGTTTGAGGGGTGGGTGTTTGATTAATGGTGATGCCATGAATGGGATTTGGGTGAGTTGCGAGGGAGATTGTAAGCAATGCTGGTCTGAAGAGCACAATGGTATAACTGGAAAGGAACGTCGCGGGCTATGGAGGCATTTGAGACGATTGTACATGATGAGTTTATTGATTTGGGAAATGCTTCCATCTTGAATACCATGAGCATCCGCTCGTCCTTGGTGATTGTGGCATGGAAAGCCCACCGTAGCGACGATACCAAGCTCACGGCACATCCCAGGGACCGATCTCGTGGGTGGCACCCCAGAAATACAGCGCCCACACCCCTGGAGACACAGCAGCCCCCTGGAGACGCAGCAGCCCCCTGGAGACGCAGCAGCCCCCTGGAGACACAGCAGCCCCCTGGAGACACAGCAGCCCCCTGGAGACACAGCAGCCCCCCGGAGAGACAGCAGCAGGGCGCCCCACCCACGACCAGTAGCACGGTGAGATCATCTCGGGCTGCTTCTGCCTGCCCTCAGCCTTGCCATCCTCCGACCTACGCCTCCGAATCGCTTCTCCTGCCACCATCCTCGCATCGCCAAGCCTGCCGTACCATGCTCGACTCCATGTCTCAACCACGAACCTAATCAGTGCCGCTTGCTGCGACCGATCAACTCCCAGCGTCCGCAATGGCTCCGCCCCCAAAGCGCCGGAAGAAGAATGTCGAATCAGACGACGACTACCATCACGACCCCGACCACGACAACAACCACGACAACAACCACGGCAACAAACAAGACCATGGCCGACCTCAGCACACCAACACGCTGCTCAACTTTCTCACTTCATCACCCACGAAACCCTCCTCCGCCCGCCCGACACCTTCCCCCGAGCCCTACGAAACCGAAGACAGGCACCTCCAGAAATGGCCTGAAGCACGACACGAGAAGTCCCAGCACCAGCCCCGTGAAGCCCAGGTCACGAGCCCCCAAGCGAACCTCCAAGACGGAAGAGAAGGGCAGGTCCGGCGACCTGCTGGCCCTCTTCTCGAGGCAGGCACAAAAGGCCCCGCCCCCATCGAAACCCGCGCCGCCCCTCATCCTCGACGACGACATTGTCAGCGATCCCATATCCGAAGATGACGTGGTGCCCAAAGCAGGCAGCGCGAGCTTCGTCGGCTTGAACGCGAGGAAACGCTCGCGAGACGGCACGTCGTCGACGACGACGACAGCTACCACAACAACAACTGGTGGTCTGGCCTCGAGCAGCCAGAAATTCCTCCGACCGCCGAGGCCGAGCCGCCCCGCGGCTCTCGACGATGACCTGAGGCCGTGGTCCGAGCGATTCGGCCCCGTGTCCCTCGACGAGCTGGCCGTGCACAAGAAAAAGGTGGTCGATGTGCGGCGGTGGCTGGAGGATGTGCTGGCTGGGCGCCTGCGGCAGCGCGTGCTGCTGCTCAAGGGCGCGGCTGGTGCTGGCAAGACGACGACGATGCGCCTGCTGGCGCGGGAGCTGGGCTGCGAGCTCCTGGAGTGGAGGAATCCCACGGGGCCGACGAGCGGCGGCCTCGGCTTCCAGTCGGCGTCGGCCCAGTTTCAGGAGTTTCTCGGCCGCGGCGGCAAGTTTGGCCAGCTCGAGATGGATGGGGGTGCTGGCGGCTCGGACTCGTCGACGCAGGCCCTGGACAAGGGCACACGGCGCATCATTCTGGTCGAGGAGTTCCCCAACACGTTTGCGCGCTCCTCGACGGCTCTGACATCGTTCAGAAATGCCCTGCTGGCGTACCTCGCCGCGAACACGCCGTCCCTGTCGGCCTTTGGACGACCGTCACAAAACGCCACCATTACACCCGTGGTCATGGTCATATCGGAGACCCTGTTGACGACGACGTCGGCGTCGGCAGACAGCTTCACAGCCCATCGCTTGCTGGGCCCGGAAATCCTCCGCCACCCAGGGGTCGGCGTGATAGAGTTCAACGCGATAGCGCCGTCAATCCTTGCCAAAGCTCTCGAGCTGGTCGTCACCAAGGAGGCTAGGACATCGGGACGGAAACGCACCCCGGGACCTCTTGTCCTCAAGCGTCTCGGCGAGATTGGCGACATTCGCAGCGCCATCTCCTCCCTGGAGTTTCTCTGCCTCAAGGGCGACCAGGAAGCCGACTGGGGCGCCAAGGTTGCCTTTACGAAAGCCAAGAGAGGCTCGAAGGAATTGCTTGCCATGACCAAAGGAGAAGAGGAGAGCCTCGAGCTCATCTCACAGCGAGAAGCCAGTCTCGGCATCTTCCACGCCGTCGGCAAGGTGGTCTACAACAAGAGGGACGAGCTGCCACCCAAAAACGACACGGTCGAAATCCTACCGAGCCATCTAACACACTACGCCCGTCCCAAACGCTCGCAGGTTTCCGTCGACGCTCTCATCGACGAGACGGGCACCGACACGCACACCTTTGTGTCGGCGCTTCACGAAAATTACCTCTACTCGTGCGAAAGCCCGAGCCCTCTCGACCCCGACTCGTCTCTCGACCACGTCAACGGCTGCCTCGAGTATCTTTCTCTCAGCGATCTCCTCAGCCCCTCCTGGGACATTTTCTTCGGCGGTCGGGGCCCCTCAGGCGGCTACGGTGGCAAGGACTCGAGCAGCCATGTTCTGCGTCAAGACGAGATGACCTTCCAGGTCGCCGTGCGCGGCATGTTGTTCTCGCTGCCGTCGCCCGTCAAACGCAAGACGCCTCCCGGCGTCAGGGGCAGCGACGCTTTCAAGATGTTCTACCCGACGAGCATCAAGCTGTGGCGCACCAAGGAGGAGTTTGAGGGCCTCGTGGATGTGTGGTCGACAAGGCTGCTCAAGGGCGAGGAGAGCGTCGCGCGGAAGGACCTCACACAAGGCGCTGCAGCATTCCGAAAGCCCAAGGCCGCAGCGTCGACGGCAGGCGCAGCGAGCTGGGTCGCCACACACCAGGCCAAGGGCGCTGGCGGATCGGCCTCGCACGCCAGTTCCGGCGCCGCAGACGCACACGAGGCGCCGCCTCTGCTGTCGCTCGGGAGCGCCGCGCGCAGGGAGATGCTGCTCGAGCGGCTGCCCTACATGGCGCAGATTGCACGCGGTCGCAGGGGGGGCCTGCACTCGATCAAGCTGCGGGACATTGAAAAGGTCGTGTCGTTCCAGGGCATCGGCGCGCAGCGGGCGGGCGAGGACGTCGAGTCCGGCGACGAGGCGGCCGAGGCCGACGGCGGGCCGATGAGCGGCGAGGCGTGGGCGACGGATAAGCCGTCCGAGGAGGCGTCGCCGCGGAAGAAGGCGGCGCGGATCCGCACCGTGAGCGACGTCTCTGTTTCGGGCTTGGGCGTTTCGGGGCTGGTGTTGAGTGATGATGATATCGAGGATTACTAGGCCGGGGGCCGGCATGGCGTTGTGTCTGTACGGCGTGTTGCGAGCTCATGGCCTCGCTGAATTGAGCGGCATGTTCATGTCAGAGGCCTTTACGGTGATGATCAACTTGCAAAGCAGCATTCCATGACTTGTTCGGCGGTCAGATTAAGCACGCCAAATCAAAGACCACACCCAGGTGGCAACCGAAGACCGGAAGCACTGGGTTAGGTAGATCAGCAAGACTATCGAAACCTCCGCCGCTGTTCCCTCGTCTTCCCTCCTCCCACTAGCACAGCTTCCGCCGGCCAAAGAACCGCGACGTGTCGCCCACGGGCAGCTCAAAGGGGAACACGTCCCGACAGAGCTCGTAGCCAACCATGTAGAACCCCGACGCGGCGGCCACGGCGCTGGCGGCCGTGTCGCCGTCGGCCATGGCGAAGTGGGCGGCGCAGTTGAACAGGAAGGAGAACTCGAGGCCTGCGAAGATGATGATGTTGGGGACGTTTCCGGGGGATTTCCGCGTCAGCTGCTTTATGCCATTTTTTCCGGGAGAGGGGGGGTTTGGCGGACGTACATGGCCAGAGAGGCGAGCAGGAAGAAGGAGTTGAGTATGCACCAGACTGGATCCGTCAGCTTCCGCTCCGCTGCAATACCGTGTCATGATCATGGCCGTGTCCTCACCGAGCAGGTACAAGCCAACGGCGTTGTAGTATTCCGCCGTGTACCCGCCATAGGCCTCGATGATGCCCATCCCAGGCATGCGGAGCACTCCATATCCCGCGTAGTAGAGCCCTGTTGCCATGCTCCGATCAGCAGCTGACACACCGACCTGACACAGACTGGGCTCCTCACCAAACGACGACAGCACCGTGTACCCAAACGTGTTGCCCCGGACCATCTCCCACTGCGCCGACACAAGCAGGCCGACGCCGGCGATGAAGCAGAGGTTCCCGACGAACACGGTCGCGTTGGCCATTCGAGCGTTCGGGTGGACCGCCGGGCGGGTCTGTCGTTTTCGTCTGTAGGCAGAATTCACGCAAGCGCGTGGCGGGTTTCGTCGAGGCTCTGTGTCTCGGGAGCCTCGGCGAGTCCATGTCTGGAGCGATCGGGGGGGTTCGGGCATTCGCAAGGCCGTATGAATGCCACCTGGAACTGCCCCTTTGCGTTGCCGGAGATCTCAAAGTGTATTGTGCGTCACATCACGATATCGATCGCCACCCATTTCAACAGGTGTCGTGCGCATGCAGAGGCGAAAATCCGAAAGTCGGCGTAGACGGCTGCTTGGCTTCGCACCTCGGAGTTGGCCTGCATTTTTGACATTGACCTTCGTACTAGGACTGGCTACATGTGAGCACTGCTGGGGTCAGTTTATACCAGAGTTGGATGTCTTGCGTTGCTGAGTCTTCAAATAGTCAAGGCCCTGGATAGTCTGAGACAGTATACGTCAGCGGGCGCTTCGAAGGCCATGAGCTCAGATGTGCTTCCATGCTATTAGTCTTTATCGACGGCAATGCGACATTGAGGGAACTTGTAAGATCTGCTGACGACTGCACTCTCATACTAACGTTGGGCTGCCCTCTTACAGTTGCAAGTCACACAAGAAAGCAAAGCTCATGTCGAAACTGACCTCCCGTCAACGAAGCCCTAGTTAGCCTGCCGCTTGACCAGTCACATTACATGGTGGCACGAGTCAGTGGCAATCCTATTAAGCCCATCATGTTCAACCAAACACTCAGTTCGAGAACGACTTTCATTATGAAGCAAAAGTCATGAAGTTTCCCAGGTTCCTCAGATATAGTTTCCCTCACATAGCGCATCGTCATAAATCTCTATCCAAACCGTGCTCTTTCCCCATCCTACCGCGACGGCTCCCTCTCATAGGAGATCTCATACCGCGTCGTCTTCCGAATGGCCCCGGCATCACCGTCGCCGTCGCCCTCGTCCTCGGACCCCTGCCGCTTGACCGACGTCAGGATGTACTCCTCGCTCATATCGTCGCTGTGGTGGACGATGCTGCGGTTGGCGCCGCCCGTCTTGGCCGGCCCGCCGTACGGCTGCCAGGCGCTGTGGCTGCTGCTGTGCTGGCTGCTGCTCATGTTGTTGCTGGTGTTGTTGCTGCGGGCCGCGTTGTGGCTGTTGTTGCTGCCGCCGTACTTGTAGCTCGAGCGCTGGCGCGAGGTGCTGCCAAAGGTCGAAGGGAAGAGAAAGGCCAGCGGCAGGCGGCACATGGGCAGGCAGGCGCAGATGATGGCCACGTTCTGCTCAATCATTGTCCAGAGCGTCGAGGCAATGTCGTCTGCGCGTCGCGGGTGCGGGTGAGCGATGGTGGACGTGTGACCCGGCCTGGGGAGGCGGAGGGTAGTGGCGTGGGCGACTTACAGGTCATGTCGGGGGTCTTTGTGGAGAACTTGAGCGTCGTCGAACGCATGATGGATGTGACGGTGACGCTGAGAGCATCTCGTTAGCAGAGAGAGAGAGAGAGAGAGAGAGAGAGAGAGATGGCCGGTGGACGCTGCACGTACAAGCCTCCAAGCGCAAAGACGAGCATCAGCGCCCTCTTCTGGTTGACGGGAAGCTTGCTCGCCCAGATCGGCTGCATGGGCAGCAGCAGGATCAAGATATCGGTGGCGATGGAAAAGCCGGCGTTGGCGTACCAGTTCTTGGTCAGGTCGATGCACGTCGGCTTGGACGACTTGTCCCAGGCGCCGCTGATGGGGCTGCACTGGAAGATGGACGAGGCCGTCGTGGCGACCATGTAGGCGAGGATGATGCTGACGAGGACGTAGCAGCAGATGCGGAACCAGCGCTGGACAAAGATGCGCAGGTAGAGGGCGAGGATCGACGCCTTGGTCAGGTTGATGGTGAGCTTGTAGAAGATTTGCGCCACGTAGAACAGCTGTTGATTTCTCATGTTAACCACGCCCGTTTCGGTGTCATGTCTGTGACCCGTGGTCGGCATACCTTGAGCGCCATTAACCGGTCTTGGGTTTCCAGCTCATAGACGTGTCGCCCAAAACCGTACGATACGGAGAACATCATGAGGATCTGGACAACCAGCACACACACCTGAGCACACGTGTCCGTCAGTGACGAGGCTTCGCAAAACCAGGTCATCAGGGCAGCTGAACTCACAAAAGACACCATGATTGTCCAGTCATCGGCGCCGATGGTGGATCTCGTCGCTATGCGGCTCCATAGTCGAATGATGATGAAGATGGGGGTCAGAGCGAAGAAGACAATGCAGGGAATGACAACCTGATTGGCATTGCTCTCCCCGGAGCCGTTGGCGGTGGCCATGGCGGGAATCGGCCTGTGATGGCGGTCCGTTGGTGCAGCAAAGACGACTACCGGGCTCAGACTACCGGGCGCAGGTATGTGACAGAAGCGACATTTTCTTTTTCGCTCAGAGGGGAACGAGATGCCTCAACAGGGGAGATTGAGTATATGTATCCCATGGCGGCCACGGCATAGTATGGTGTGCCATGGCGGCCATGGCATGGCACGTCATGACGGGCACCCAATGGCGCACCCTCGAGAAAAAGGTCATATAATTGTGCGCCACAAACCCTCCAGAAACAGTTCTGTTCCGTCCATCACAAAGGCATTGAGTGCAGACAATCGCTGACACGCCGCCCCTTGCGGTCTGCAATGCAAGGTACAGGAGACATGGGGTTGTACCGTGGGAGGGAAGCATGCGGGATGCACACCACCATCACATGTCTTTTTCGGATTGGATTAAACCTCGTTGTCACTGGAAACGACAGGATGCTCGGTGCTTGGCGGGAGAAAAGGGGGGGGGGAGAGGATGTGGTAAAAGCGGCCGAGTTGCAGCCATCTCGCTGCATGTCCGTTGTATGTCTCGCAGGCTTTGCCTCTTTCTCTCTCGCAGTCCAAGACTGTGCAGGTCTGCGTCCAAGACTTTGCCGGTCTGCGTCCAAGACTTTGCAGGCCCCAACAAGTCAGGGATCGCCAGCATAAAAATGCTTGCGTCTTTCCTTTCATGGCCTCCGCCGGAATCCTTCGTTGCTGCAATGGAGCTCCCCCTCCAGAGACCAACAACACACCAATCCACACCAACGCGGCCCCTCCCGCGCTGGTCTCGTCTTCCCTGGCGTGTCCGGACCCCGAACTCGTTCTTCCCGGCTACCCGCGGTTCCCTCCCTTGCCTCCCAAGCCTCCCCAAGCTCCCCAAGCTCCCCAAGCAAACCTACCCATACCCCATGTCGCTGAGGCCTGGCTCCTTTCGACTAGGCCCCAGAGATCACTAGGCCCCAGAGATCCCTGCGCCGGCTGCACCGGGACCAACGGCTGCGCTAGCGAGGTTGCCGCCAAGGCCTCTTCGGGTGCCTTTCTGCGCCTTGTCGCCAGAAAGGTTCCAACCAAACTCGTACCTTAATTTCTTGTGCCACCGGTGGCTTGCAGAATGTTGGCTACAGGCTGATGTAGCCCACCACCCAAAGCGACGGGGGGCTTGTCGGTGGCGGCGTTGCGACCAACAGGCAGACCGTCGTGCCGAGCCCCTCGTGTGTAAATCACTCGCATCCCGAAGCAGAAGGTCAAGCCCGTTCGCCATGCTGCAGAACAGGGATCGTGTCGTGTTCTTGTGCGACCGAACCACACTTATCATTCCCCCCGGGGTATGCTTCGAACCGTGATCTGCAGCCCCCGTCCCCCCTCCATCTCGACATCATTCAACTGGTCCTGTCACCCTCCCACGGCGCCTCCTCCTAGACGCCATCCCGTCGTGCCATCGTCCTCGTTGTAGTCGCCACTGTCGCAGGCAAAGAGTGCGCCTCTGTACCCACACCTCACGATGCGCTTCTCACTGCTCTCCGCCCTCACGACGGGCCTCATGGCCGCCGGCCTGAGCGACGCGCAGGCCAAAGGCACCATCTCCAAGGGCCCGTTCCCGCAGGACCTCAACGGCCTCAACTGGAAATACCCCTTCCCCGTCGAGGTCTTCTCGTTTGTCAGCCAGGCCGAGAAGGTCGAGATGGCCTTCATGGACGTCAAGCCCAAGTGCAGGCCCAACGGCAAGACGGCCGTCCTCTTCCACGGCAAGAACTTTTGCGGCGCGACCTGGGAGACCACGATCCGCGCCCTCGCCGGCAAGGGATACCGCGTCATCGCGCCCGACCAGATTGGCTTCTGCAAGAGCAGCAAGCCCGCCGGCTACCAGTTCAGCGCCAAGCAGCTCGTCTTCAACACGCGCGGCCTGCTCGACGCCGCCGGCGTCGGCAACGTCACCGTCATCGGCCACTCGTTCGGCGGCATGCTGACGACGACCTTTGGCCTGCAGTACCCGGCCACCGTCGACGAGCTCGTCATCGTCAACGGCATCGGCCTCGAGGACTACGTCCAGAAGGGCGTCCCCTACATCCCCATCGACCAGTCGCTCACCTCCGAGGCCGCCTCGACCTACGAGTCCATCCGCGGCTACGAGCAGCGCGTCTACTACCTCGGCGAGTGGAAGGAGGCCTACGACGTCTGGGTCCGCATGCTCGTCAACGTCTACAACGGCTCCCTGCGCGACGCCTTTGTGCGCTGCCAGGCCAAGATTGTCGACCTCGTCCTGACCCAGCCCGTGGCCCACTACTTCAAGGACATCAAGGCCCGCACCCTGCTCCTCATAGGCGAGAAGGACACCACCGCCATCGGCGGCCAGTGGTCGCCGCCCGACGTCGCCGCCAAGCTCGGCCGCTTCGACCTCCTCGGCCCCCAGATCGCCGCCGAGCTCCCCAACGGACACCTCATCACGTTCCCCGACGAGGGCCACTCGCCCCAGATTTCGGCGCCCGAGGAGTTCCACAAGGCTCTGCTGGCTTGGCTGTCGGGCTAGAGCTGCTTGTTCGCAAAAGAGGCGCCAGAGTCGGCGAGGGTGGCCTGTACATACGCACCATACGTACCTTATTCTGTCCATATATGGCCCGCTCAAACGTGGCGGGATATTTAATCCTTGTAACCATTTGCCGCCCGCTGATGTCCACCTGCTCCTTTGTGCGGACCATGGTCGTATGATTCTGAGATGAACTCAAAACTTGTTAAAAAGGACCGCCCATATATGGTGGCTCAGGCAGAGATATCGACAATTACTGGCTGATTAGCTGTATGATCTTATTCTTGACATACTCACTTGCACTACACTGACTCATCCCTGTGTCTCGTGCAGCACGGTAGAGTCCTCTACGACGGCTAGCTCCTCTCCACAATCCTCGTCGTTTCCTTCATCAGATGCCACAGATTGAGCTGAAATCAGGCCGAGATCGAAGATTCTTCCCGTCTCTGTCTGTAAATAGCAAGACGAGCGCGTCAGCAATCAATTCCTACGCTGGCACTTTGACTCAATATTGTATGAGAGCTTACCGTGGCCCAGAAGCCGACGATTCTCTCCTTTGCCGGACAGTGCACCGACTTAGCCACCGATGCGCGAGGTGAAATATCGTCTCGAAACCCAGCTGGGAAGTCAGCTGCGCGGCCAAAGCTTGTACGTATCTGTTCATCGCCAGAGTTAGCCTCGAGCTTTTGTGATCCAGATGTGCAGGATCACACGCACCGTGAAACCCAAGAGCTGGCCAAATTCATACACCGAGTCCAGCGCCGTGATGCGCTCGCCACCAGGACCGTCCATCACCAGGCTTTCTTCTTGAGGCGCTTTCTCGCTCCTGAGGCCCAATCGAACAGGCGTCTGATGAGCGGCGGGGTCGAAGCTTATGATGATTTCACGGAAATCAGTGAATTGTCCAGGGCCGTTGTCCTTCATTCGGACGGTGACTTGTGTGGGATTGCGAGCGTGGTCACCATCAGTGCTTCCAAACACCAGAAAACGCGCTACAGCTTCGTCATACAAGCTGCGCCCGTAGATTTTTCCCGACGTGCCCAGCATGGTCAGGTCTGGATTTGGGATGTTCGGGTACCAGATAGCCCGATCTTTAAAGTCCAGTCGCGAGTCTGGATCTGGCAGCGGTCCAGACAAGTCCGCTGATACGGAAAGCGTTACGAGTTTGAAGGCCTGCGATGATTCAGTACGTCATCCGAGGAAGGCATCGAATCCGTCAACACGCCCTTGCCGAATCAAACACCTCTGGGGTTAGAGCCAATACTCACATCGAAACCGCCCTGAATAATGTCGATAACAGCAGCACAGCTGCTAGCTCCAGACTCGAAGACAAGCCTTCTCTTGGGGATATCATCATGATTGCCAATCCACTGGGTCAGTTGACCATTGTTGAGTATAACGGCGAGCCCTCTGATTCCCCTCTGGTCCTGGGCGAGACAGAAGCCTTTGATCCGGAAAGAACTGCCGGAAATTGCTTGGAGAGGCATCTCGTTTTCCGTATTGATGTAACCCAAGGGTTGAGAATGGTTCCTCACGTCCAGGATTCGGAGGCCAGAGATATAGCACCTGCCAAATATGTTGATGGTGGAGACGAAGACCGTAACGATGTCGTGAGGCAGCGAGGAGAGCCGGCGCTCGTGCAAAGCTCTGCACCCTCTCCACATGGACTGGACTCGCTGTCTGAGTAGTCTATGCGCGGTGACGAGCGGTCTCGAAGCAGTGGCTGGAGGTGCATCTGGCTCGAAATACGACTGGACAGCAGTTCCTCGACAGTCTTTTCCTTTCATGTCTTCCAGGACGCGGCGGAGGCTCATTGAGATCTTCCAGATGCGCTTTCTGTTTTCCATGGACGGGGTATTCTCGATTCTCTGCATAGACCTGTATATCGACCTCCACCTCCCTCTGTGCGTTTGAGACGAGAAATGCTGGCGTGCTTCGAAGACGTGGTCAAACTCCCGACCGTGAAGAAAGCGAGATTTCCAAAATGCATCCGGCAAACTGATGCAGGCGGCAGTGCGAGACGCCTGTCTCAGACTGATGACGTCGGACGATGGTAGGGCGGTGATGATGAGCACGAGTATCTCTGCAGGCAACTTGGCAAACGTGTCCATATGCCGAGTCGCCGTCTTGTTGCTTCGGACGACTGACTCGATAGATGCCGTCGGGATATCAGCCAACACTGCAGTCGATGCATCTGATCCATTGGAGATTTCAGACCCAAAGACCTGCGGCATGCGTGGGATAGCAAGGGGATCTCTTCTATTGATCAGTGGTTCGCCTGGGTGCTCTGCGTCCGTGGAAGGCAGGAGCTCAGTCTCGTCATCTTGCAGGTCTGAGCCGTGATAGTCATGCCTCCAGTCGAGCAGCCCTTGGCTCACGGGAAGACTCCTACAAAGATGAAAGAGGGTCTGGACCCAGGATAAATCGGCCTGAGCACAGGCGTGCGACAGAATCTCCCAGCATGCAGCGTGGAAAGGAAAGCCCCAACAGGGCGGTGGCGGGCCTGGCATGTTGTGCGATTCAAACGCTGTCAGCATGAGACTTATCCTGAAAGAGCCGTCATCGGGATCAACGCCGTCGGGCTTGGTGGGTATCCCTGCTGCAGACGAAGCGGTGATCTTGTCGGTGAGCTGCTCCCGGCGACCTGGGCCCGAAACATAAGCGGCCGTCTTGGCCCGATCATTCAATGCATACACTGGAGGAATAAACTGTCAGGCGATGTCCCGTTGATGAGTAAAGCATTACTCAAAGCTCAGCATACTCACGCGCGACAAATCGAGCCATCCACGATGGCTGCCCCCCTGAGTCGATGACTGCGCCACCACAAAGAGAACAACAAGCTGAGGTGATTGGCATGACTCGTCTCCAGGGAATGGTTGGAGATCTGTGCGACTAGACGTCGAACGAAAGCTGGCGCGGGCCGTTGGGACCAAGTCCAGCGCGAAGGACAGACAAGAGCCGTTGGCTGGTGCTGTTCAGATGTTGTTGGACAACGTCAAGGCCCGAGAGCGACGGATGCAAAAAATATGAGTGAGGTAGGTACTAACTAAGGTACCTATGTACCTAGGGAGCGAGCAAGAGGCATGAGGTTGGCGACCTGCATAGTTGCTTAGGTACGTAAGGTAGGCGCACATAGGGCTCTTGGGCGGGGACGGTTTTGCTTGCCGCTGGCCACGCGGCGGCCTAGGCCGGCGTGTACAACAGACCAGGGATAAGGGTCGTCAGCGACGTTGCGGGCGAATGACAGGTAAGCCGCTGGGCTTCTGGCGTCTGATACAATAACCAAGGCTTCTTGTAGGTCGGCCTAGGCCGCCAGTTTGTTCCCATATGCCGCCGACGCACCAACCGCAGTCCTTTCCTTGGGCCAGATGGCAAGCAGCGTAAGGTACCTAATCCAGCGCACCGGACTGGGGTCGAAATCTAAACGAGGCGGTTGGAAATCGGGTTCAGACTGTGACCCGCCTTGGGTCACGGCAGGAGGGTCTATACATAAGAAAGCTCTCAGGCCGTTGAAGAAACGGCTGACTCTCCTTCCAGACTTACTCTCTGACCTGCCTGCTTCGGGAAAACCCAACTATCACACGGCATTCTCATCTTTCCATCCAGTCATGGCTCTGCCTTCTCAAGAGGAGAAGAAAGGAACTGTAAGTGCTTTCCATATTGCTTGCACCGATTTTCCAGAGTAACTTTGCCGCAAATCTCTGCTTTCACATTGCGTCTGGCACATGCATGTGCCCTTCCATAGCACGGACTAATACCAGCTCACCACAGTACCTGGAATACTCGACATTGGAGTGGGCGATCGAAAATCGCCTGACCAACGGGCAGCCTGAAGGAGAGACAAGCCGAGTCTGGAACGCGATTCTCAGTAAGATTTTCCGGATAGAGGATGGCTACATGACCGGGCCCGAGATGCTTCACGAAGGTGGTCGGGCAGATCTTTTCACAGCGCATATTGTATTCAACCCAATGCACGAGGAGAAGAAGTTCCTCGTTGTTGAATGCAAGGCCCCCGGCCGGGAAACAGACGATGATCTTTGGGCAGAGGCCGCTGATCAGCTTGCAAGGCACCTCAAGAGCTTCAAGCCCCGCAACAGGCTGTACGGAGCTATCGCCAACGGGAAAGCGGTTCGTTTCTATGAGTTGAATGATGGCAACCTGGTGGATTTTCAGAATGATGGTCAAATACTGTGGCTGGACCGCCAATGCCAGTCTGTTATGAGGAAGCTTTTGTTCTTTCGAGACAACCATCTCTTTTAATCAATGAGATAGTCCAAGTAGAAAGTCCCTTTCTTCAATCGCCAACGAAAACATGGCCAGATGCCAGTATACAGCATCAACTTATCAGAAACCCATTATTAAAATTGCAGCGACCACTTTTCGCTGCAATGCCACGGCTTAAAATTGAAGTATAGCTACATACCCGGATTCAGAAATCCGATCAGTCTCACTTGAAGAACCCAAGTTTAACATGTCACGATCTCAAGCCTCGAGTGGGTTTGAGTCCCGTTTCCCCCAGGCGAGGAAAGCTAAAGGCCCTTGGTGACATCCTCCAACACGACATCTACCTGAGGCCCCCGACATGAAAAGATTCGTGGTATCAATGACACCACCGACACGCCAGATAGATCAAACGCCCTGCAGGGAATTGGGCTTGCGAACGATGTCATCCTACAGGCTCTTGACGGCGTAGCTGTGGTACAAGGAGCGGTGGTCATTGGAAGTCTTGAAATCGATATCATCTGCCTCATCGCGAGGACAGGTGGAAGATGGGTCATCATCACATAGTGGCGCGTAATGTCAACAGAAGCTCTTGAATCTCGTCAAGTCCGGCATATCGCTAACAATAATACTATTCTTGTATGTTTTGGTACGAGAAGACACGGGAATGTCTCTTTCCGTGCGTTCTAGTCATGGCATCCGGCCCTCATGATAGCCAAACAGCGCCCGGCATCAAAGCCGTAATGTACCCGCCGTCCGCCCAGCAACCTCATATCCGGTAGACAGCCGCTCCAATTCCTCATCATGCTGGGATTCTTTCAAAAGTGAGGTTCCGTTGGCCTGGTGCATGTAAAGATGTTGTCCGATCCAGGACGTGAGCTGTGGTGGCCCAATAACGATCCGCGTCAGTCCGACAAGGATGGCAAGGCATCCAAGCGCGATGAATGCCTTCGCGGCAACGTAGTGGCAGCCGACACTTCCATTTTTGCGCCAGATATTCATGTAAGCCCCTTCTCTGTTTTGGCTGAATCCGGGCTCAGGGCCGAATGGAGTCTCTCCAAGAGGAACATGTCCGACATGATAGTTCTGTCCCACTGCCTCCGATGCGATATATGTCAAAGCCAATCTCAAGAAGGTGCTCGCGGCATCTGCACTGGTGGTATCGGATAGCTGCAATAGAGCGTCGATCCAAGGTCCGTGGTGCTCGGAGAACGATAGTTGTTGCTCCCTAACTTGTGGAGCCTCGTCGTCAACGGAGAGCAGACTCGTGAGAAGATCCTCAGCTGTTGTCGAGTATGAATTCACAAAATCGAGAACGTTCTTCATAGTCGCGCAGTCTCCTCTCTGAATGGTTCGTTGAGCATTGCGCACGGCATACCTGACCTCATAAGTAAGATGTCTTGCTGCAGGTATTGACTCGGTTGAGGATGAGGTTGGGTTGTCCCACAGCTCCGCTGGTGCCCACCGCATCTCAATGACTTGAGATGATCCAATGCGGTAGTCAACAACTGCTTGTGACCTGTTCGCATTATCCCACTGATCTCCCGATCCGGCCGGCCAGTCCGAATTGGCGGTACGCATGCGTCGCCAGCCGTCGGGTGCCTCGCGTGGCATGGCAGGGGGTGGTTCCTGGTCCTGGTGTGTACTCTGATTCGCAATAAGGACGAACTCGCGCTCGTACAGGTTCCCCTGATCTTCCAATTGTATGTTCCAGTTGCAATTCGATGTCGCCATCATGACAACGATACTGGGCGGATCCCGACGATGCTCAGGGTCATCATTCCGGAAACCGTGCAGGAAAGACCTCGATGCCTCGCTATTGTGTGTATCTGCAAGCCAAGGAGCGACTGTGCCGTTTGTAGTAATTTGCAGCGGTGGAGGTTGCAAGATCACTTGCTCTTGTGGCAAAAACTTGCTGAACGATGAATCGGGTACCTCGCGAATTGCGAACTTGTACCCCACGGACGCCGCTGTTCCAGATATGATGACGATGTTGCGGAATGTGATGAGCCAAGGGAAGCCTCTGAAGCCGTAGGAAACTGGAGCCCGGGGTAAAGAGTTCAGGTATCGACCGTAGTTGAGGCCTGCGGCGCTTTGAGCCATCCGTGTGCACATCCAATCGAAAAAGTGGTTATAGGCTTCATGAAACCCGTACGCTAGCAGTCCGAAGCCGACACCGAGGATCGCTAACCATACCTGGACGCCCAAATGAGCGCCAGGCCTCAAGATTTTGAATGCATCATGGTGTGCACCTTCGTCAGTCGTGCGCCGTCCGACGTCAATGAGGACAGAGCCTCCAACGAACAGTGAGGCCAGCGACAGAATCCCTAACCGCTGGAGGTGAACAAAAGTCTTTCGGCCCCAATGCTTAGTGGTTGCTGACATGAGTGCCTTGATTTCCGCATTCTCGCTGGCCATTGTGCCTTCATCGAGGAGGCAGGGAGGCTCGGTGGTGGTTGTGTGGACGAGACGGAGTGGGATCCGTGGTCCAGGGGCCAAACACCTTTTCTTGTCATCAAGTAAGCAGGAAGTGACCTGGTGCTTGACACTCACTGTACAATGCAGTGAGGATTATCGATTGCGGCCTAGGTGTCTTGGAGGATTCACATCCCTGTTGCATCTGAGACGGAAATAGAACCCGGAGCATCTGAACTGGTGGCAAAAAAGCAGCGAGTGGCTGAGCGATGATCGAGACGGCTGAATGACGTAGCAGATGAGCACCTAGACAAGAGTCAGAGAAGCACCAGAAGATCCTTGGACTTGAGGAGTCAATGCACAGGAAAACAACATCACTTTGAAAGCTGCATGGGGATTCTACCAAATGTCGTGTCGCATGTTACTCGCTGAAGGCATTATAATGAAAGATGCCGCACTATCTCCAACTCTTTTCACATCTCCAAACCGACGAGACTGTGGACATACGAATGCACATTCTTTCCTCCTGCCTGGCACGGGCTTCTTTTGCACTGTGGTTGCTCGAGATGCAGATAAGAGGGCGGTTGAACTAGAACTTCTTCACTAAGAATGAAATGAGACTTGTCTTAATGTGCATTGTATGGCGCAATCCCAGTCTGGGCTTGACAGGTGCTGATGCGGCAAATTTCACAGGTAATCGATAGTAACTACTTCCCGGTTCAACTACCGTGATGATGCTTTCAGCCTCTTTCTCGGCTGCATAATCCTTGCGAGCGATGGATGATACAATTTACACAGGTGGCACATCGTGTCGGCCTACACCATGAGGCTCGGGAAGCGTCTTCGGGCTGCCAGCTTGGTTGCTGACGGCTCTGGGAGAAAAGGTATCAGCAAGCATCACCAATGGGTTGCAGTAGATATCATACCGGATAGCTTGGCCTGCGGTGGCCGTCACAGCGGTTTTGGTCGCGGAGCCGGCAACAGCCTCCAGAGCCGACAAGCCAAGCTCTTTTCCGAGCATAGTTCCGGCGCCCTTGACAGCATGTCCCACACCGCCTCCGCCTACCATGCCAAAAGCTCCGCCCATGAGCGCATCGGTCACGAGCTTGTTGGCACTGAGATCAAGACCTTTGCCGTTGATTTGATTCTCGATCTGACCGCCAACAGTAGATCCGGCCATTCCACCAGCGACGGCGCCAACGGGCCCTCCAACGATGAAGCCACCAACAGCACCGGCAGTTGAGACAAGATTTCCGGTGCTGGCCGCCAGTGACTTTTGGGCGCCTTCTTTGTCACCGGCAAGGTATTGAATGCCCGCCGTCGCGTGGCCGACCACGGGGATCGCCCCGACGACGTTGAGGACACCGCTCCAGAAACCCATGGTGCGGTGTGTGAAGAAATTGGGGAAAACAGAGAGCGGGCCTGGTTGTGGATGAGCAACGAGGCAGAGGTAGTGTGATAGAAGCTCGACAAGGCGAACAAGAGGTGGGCAAAGATGATAGCTCAAGCAGAGTTGGAAGCTCAGAAAAAAATGTGATGTGGAAGATGAGTTCCATGCCTCAACAACTATATACATCTACCGACCGTTTTGTGCTTGTTTATCTGGTCACTGTTCTGTCCATCCGAGTCAGTATCCGAATTGACTATGCGCTGAGAACTAGCGCTGTCAACCACATGCGCGCGGCCCGTCCCTCGCGTCAAGATAATGCTCCGCGGGGGCGCCTGGATCGGTCCAGACCTGCTCCCAGCTGAACTTGTGGAATGGATAGATTGAACGCGCCGCACGCTCAGTGCGGTGAGGATGAATCGCTATAGGAAGCTGAAGCGAGACGCAAGGGGCTTTCGCAAACGCAAGCCACAGCAAGTACATCTGATGCGCTGAAAACCCACTACCGCTGCCAAAACAGGCATTTGCTGCGACCCCGGCCTTGAGCGCCATGCCCCAGGCTTGTCTTCAAGCTCAGCCCGCCACCGGCTTAGGCAATATTGAAATAGGAAATCGTTAGTACAATTACTAGTTCGCCACGATGTACTGTCCGTTGATATATCATTTTCGGAATGTGACCTCAGCTCGCCGTGGTTGAGTTCTCCAATTGACGGTGCGTATCGCAACCTATCAACGTCTGGAGGCCAATTATTCGTTCGAATGAAGGTGGACGGTCAGAAGTAACATATTCCGAAATACTCAGGAATACATACCCCTCGTATGCAGGCTTTTGCGTCTCTGGCGTGCATCTCTTCATATGAACCAATTGCTTTGTGTCTGGACTGTCGCTCAGATGCCCCAAACGAAATGGGTATATAAGCCGTGGACAAGTCCTCATCTGACCCTCGTTCCAAGCATCGTCGTTTTCGTCTATATGTATACATCGACCTTCTCTTCACCATGCAGATTCCTGACGCTCTTGAGGCCCTGTCGGAGTATCCGTCTTCTCCGGGCGATGCCCCGGATGGCAAGTACGCCGTACGCAGCGGCAAGAAGAAGCATGTGGACTCATCCGGCCCCGACATCGAATACACCAGCTGGTTCAGGACTCCCGTCAGTTTCCCTTTTTCAAATCACAAATTCGTTGTAAATCGTTAACCGCGACGTTGCGTCGAACATACAGTCCTTAGATACCAAGACCATTCAGCGCTTGCACAGCATTCAACTCTTCACAGAGTCTCGCGATCAAGGCTTCTGTGATGACAAGGCCGCCGGAATCTGGACATGGTTCGAGATCGCCATCATGGAGAATGCAGACGCCGTCACGCCCCGAGTGAAAGATGATATTCAGCTCTCGTGGTCCAGCCACAAGAACGTTCTCAGCTGTGAAGATTTCACTTGGGTGAGTTCTCAAGTCAACTGTGAAAACCCCAGAAGAGGGCCTTGAGGTAAATGCATGAAATAAGGACTGACACCGGGGTAGCTCCAAGGAAGCGTATTCTCTGAGGACCACGACTTGTTTCGTCTCGTCGAGGTATGTACTCTATTGTTCAAGCCCAACTGTGGTGGGGCGCTGAAACAAATTGCAGAAAAACAACGTGATTGCCGTGAGGCTTTGCTCTCGTTTCCAAGGCTGGAAATTGACCGCAAAGCGTGGGTACCTGGTCGTCGAACTGGGCGCCCCGAGTAAGTCTACCCACGCCAGCATGAGAATTTTACTGCGTCAATGACCATGTTAACATGTGAGCCTCAAGTTGAACGCGAGTCTCTTAACTTCGGCTCCATTGCAGCTAAGGTCCTTGGCACGCAAGAGGCTCTCAATGATATCAACAAAGTCATGTTCCCTACTCTTGAGCAGCTTCCGTCCGTACCAGACAGCCTCTTCAAAGCTGATATGCTCAGCACGGCCAGTGCAAACGACCGACCTTTGCGTGTGCTGTCCCTAGGTAGGTCGCACAGTCCACCGAACCTGATAAAGATTGACGAAGACTATTCTGACCATGAGTAGATGGTGGTGGCGTGCGCGGCTTGGCGTCCTTGATGATCTTGAAGAAAGTCATGGACCAGTCATGCCCAGGCAAAAAGCCTTGCGAGGTGTTCGACATGATCGGCGGCACCAGCACTGGAGGGTAAGTTAACCTGAATCGCTTATTGGCACGTTGATATAGCCCGCTGAACATGCGCCAACTAGCTTCATCGCAATCATGCTGGGTCGGCTCGAGATGAGTGTCGATGATTGCATCGCAAGCTATGTCAAGTTCATGGGACAAGTATTTCCGCAAGTCCAGGAAGTCAAGTCATTTGCCGGTCTTGTCGGCCACTTTTGGCCCAGCCTTGGGACTGTTGTCAAAGTTGGGGTGGATGGAGAGAAATGGGACCACAGCGTCCTCGAGAAGGTCATCAAAGATCTCATCAGGGAAAAGCTCAACCAGGACCCTGACTCCGTCCCTCTGCGGGAGGAGAACAATACCAACCCATCTTGCAAGGTGTAAGTATAGCTTTAGCATTGCGGGCGATGTATGCAGAGCTGACCCTTACCAGCTTCGTCACAGCCGTTGCCTCGCACGGCTCGAACAACCACGCACCCGTCTTGCTTCGGTCGTACACGAATCCTCTACAAATGCCTGAGCTGCCAGATATCAAGCTCTGGGAGGCAGCACGCGCTACATCGGCAGCCCCGATGTTCTTCAAGCGTCTGGAAGTCAACGGTCAGACGTTTGTTGACGGAGGCCTACAAGCCAACAACCCCATTGGCTGGTGTGTACTCGCCGATCCATGACTTCGTGGCCACAGAGCTGACTTTACGTTGATAGGCTTTGGAATGAAGTGCTTCAGGTCTTCGGCCCAGTCCGTACTACCGGCTGCTTCCTCAGTATTGGTACCGGGACTCCCCTCAGCCAGACCTTATCGACTGTCAATCATCCCATTGACTTTACAAATGGCCTCGCTAGTATCGCTACCAACAGTGAGATGGCGAACATTTTGTTCCGCTCTCTGATCAACGCTTTCGCCCCTCGCAGCATGGCCAGGAAGTATTGGCGCTTCAATGTCGGCGACGGACTGCCCGACTGGGTCGACGAGGATGGCGTTGGGAGCTGGAGGTTGCTGGCCAAGGTCGAGGAGAGTAATGTAGGCGAGCTTGACGATGTCGCGATGATCGACATAACGAGGTCGAGAGCCGAAGATTACATGAAGGAACCTGGCTTTACGACGCTGCTCAATGAGTGCGCGCCAGCTCTGGGAGGTGGAGCGTAATGGCCACGTAGTAGTGGTGATGTCTGCTCAGTTAACGATGTCTGGAGTGCCAGTGAGCGGAGGTTGACCCAAGGTCACTGCGCCAGTACAACAGGTACACGTATGCCTGGCCTCATATTCCCGTGGCTCATTGTTGAATACTGCCTATTTCAGACGATCAAACTGCGTGTGTGATAGACAGTTGACTTCATGACGAATCTGCAGCTTGTTACGGCATACTAATGCGAACATTTTCTGCTTATAAACCAAAGGCAAAAGTGAGGGTGGATTGACTCTTCTCCAGCTAGGTACCTACCTAAGATGCAGGTTTTTTCACCATGTGGTCGCCCTCCGGACTTGCTCTTGCAGATGACACTGATGACAATACGTGCCTACCTTACCTTAGGTAAGGTACCTTGGGTACTTGAGACCTTGCGTCGTCAACAGGCAGGCGTCACTACGGCTCGGAAGATTTCAACACAGGAGATCTTAAGGAAGGTGCCGCCATGAATGTGACTGCTCTTGCCAGCTTATAGAGTTCTGCGGGGTCATCTTTTCTTGTGATTGTTTTAGGTACCTTAGGTACCTATATTAGGTAGGTACCTAGGTAAGTCAAGCTCGCGATGTGGTTGGAAAATCAATGTGTCACTTCTTGTGGCGAACGCTCAAAAGAACAACTTGCTTTCAGCCGCACTGCAAGCTGAAGGAACTCGGAAGCGAGAAACCTACAACGATGGATCAAGAGCATGTGGTCCAGAACCCAAGTGACAAGTCTCGAACTCTGCCCCAGTGAAACAGATCCTGCCCATGCCATCGATAGCGCGACTGAGAGACATGTGCTCAATGGTTTCGTTGAAAAGTCCACGGGCAGCATAGTTTTATGCAGTGGGAAGACAGAGGTCAAGTGTGCAGCAAGGCGTCATGGATGACCTCTCTTTAGGTAGGTAGGTCGGTATACGACGATGCAGGCTACAAGATCAGATGTCTCACGGCACCATCAAACTACGTACGTTGCTTTCTGACCTCTGGACACGTTTGTGCCCTCGCGATCGGAACGACATGTTTTGGATTGCTGCTGGATCGGTGTTCTCTAGGAAGGCACGTTACTGGACAAACAAGTCTCTTAACTGAAGCCACGTTCAACTCACAACACAGCAGCGTCCGTTTTCCGGGGAGGAAAGGCACCTTCTTCGCTATTCTGGCCAGCCAGAGAAAGCAATGAAAATGCAGAGCATTCGCGTCACCTGGAGGCAGTGAAATACCAGGGACACAGTGGAGACCATCGTGTGCAAGCATAGAGGACAGTCTCCGGGCAGAGGCAAAAATTGAGATAAATCTAGTGAGGTCCCTTGGGACAACCATCAGAGATTAATCTTGATGAGAACCTGCAGATGCATCAGTAATCAAGCCCACCAGAAATGACCAAAACCAAGGAGGAAGTGAGCCTCACAGATACTACACTTGATCTGCACAATTCATGTCAGCATAATTCCCAAAAGGCCAAAGAGAGTGAGAGGCTAGGTACCTAAGCCAAAAGGCAAAGAGAGCTAAGGAGGGAAGAAGAAACGTGAATCAAGTCGACGCCTGGCTGTCGGTATTTGAAGGCCGTTGGAAAGCGGTGTAGGGGAGTGCAATCAGTAAAGCCTGGCAGAATCTGGCCAATGAGAGTGTGACGGGCATCAACCTGGATGGTGCAGTGAATGGTGCAGTGAATGGTGGTGGGGGACGCCAGCTGGCGGGACTGGCAGCAGAACCGTGGCAAGACCAGTGACCAGACTGGCGACAGGACCGATGGCAGGCGAAATCTCATAAGGATCGTCAGGTAGAATGGTTCCTGCCTCCTTCGGTTTCTGCGGTGAGAGAGTCTCCTCCCACCTGCCAAGTCCACTTCTTGTCCGGTTGCCTGTCATGCCTTCAAGACAGCATACAACAGTCTTAGCCTTCAGCTCCGCATCGGTGACACCCAGTGGCTAGGCGGCGCACATTGCTTTTGACTGACAAACAGCATGCTCGTCTCAATTGTCGATGCAATGCGCGAGCACGCTCGGAAGTCTCGGCCAAATAGGCACGTTCGAAGCTACTTGGTTTCGTCGTTGTCATCTCAGTATACTGGCCACACGCAATTCTGGCAGATCAGTGCGATATGACACCATTCGTTCTAGGGACGACCCTGCTATGTCTTGCTTGCCCGCCAGGCTGTCTCAACCCTCGCCACCGTCGACCACCCAGACTAGCCAGACTGACCAGCGAGCAGGCTAGCGAGCAACAAGGCACAGTTTAAGCAAGGTGAACTGCAACGTCTCTCCCTGACAGAATCAGACATTACAATGGCGCCTGCTCTTCCATCCCTTGGGAGAGGCGTGGGGTTGCATTTACAGACGGCACTATAGAACACAAAGGTTATCACGACATCGATCCAGCCATCCTCCGTCGTTCCGACACCCGCTATTGGATCGGTACAGTAGCTAACTCCGGGAACACGACGGCGAGCGGGTTGTAACCCAATTGCGAGCCCGGGCCGATCAGCGGGAAATCCACGCTGCAGGGTCTTTTTTTTTTTTCTCCGTCAAGGCACAAAGGTCAGCTGCCCGCTGACTAGGACAACATCAGCGAGCCGATTGCCACCATGCTGTAACACGACTCGAGAGACACCCGATTGCGGTCGTCGACACGAGCAACACACATGCACAGGACAAAGGAAAGAGGCTCAGGGCCGGTGCGGTACGACAAAGGTACCCGCTGACTTAGCCTGGCAGCCATCGTATTGTGTGCTCTGCCGCCTTGGTGCGTGTCTCGGGTGCCGTGGAACCGTCGTAGCGCCACAGAAGGGAAGTCTCTTCGGATTCAGGACGAAGCCCCAAGCACCGCCCAATATGTGAAGACCGCAGACAAAGCTGGTAAGGGGATTCCTCGTGCGCCAATCACTGGGTTTCGGCCGTCCATCCTAAGAGGCGTGGGAGAGGGGAAAAAAAGGCAGACCGATCTGGGCTCGAGATGCAGCCAAAAATGTCTGACAGGACGGCAGGCTGGCTTTAGCCCCAGGCTGTACGACGCCAGAATAGTCGACGGTGATCTATATTCAGCACTGTCGAGTCGATGCAACAGCTGACGGCGGAGGCGATGGAGGCGCAGGGAGGCAGGCTGGCAGGCTGGCAGGCTGGCAGGCTGGCAGTGGCCCATTCGCTCAGACGTCTCCACGGGTTGGCAGACGACTGGATGATGCCACTTTTCGCCGAGGATCATCATCACCCACCCGCCGCCCATCCATCGTTTCGCTCGTCCGCCACTGAAGGGGGACACCACATCCAGAAATTGCTTGATGGCCATCATGCTTGATGAGGCTGACAGGCTGCCACACCACAATCGACACCTGCGAGCATCGATGTTGCGTCCATCATCCGGAGGGAAGAACCCGCTCCTCTGGTGTTTTTTTCTCCCTCAAAAAGGGCCGTTGCTACAGAAGCCAAACGCAAGAGACCTAAAAAGGACGCACGAAATAGAGAATGGGGGCGTCTTTTCGTATTAACCGCGGGCCTCTCTCCAGAAATCCTGGCACCTAGCGCGCAGTTGGCCCCCCTTGCACCCCTGTCGACCCCCTTTTGGCGGGCTTGAGTTGGGGTCTTGGATCTTGGATCTGCCCCTCTTGCGAGGCAATCCTTCGTTGGGCTCAGCCGTGTACCGGGACGCAGGTCAAAGCTGCCAACGGCACTCAGAAGCATAATGCTGCGCTGGTCTACTCCACCGAGCGGAACGAGCAACGTCATTTTCTTGCGTCTCTCTACCGGACTTTGGGGTTCTTAGCAACACGACGACGCCCACGCCATCTTTTCTTCTCAACACTCACATCCGCGAGGCTCAGCACTAGAACGCAACAGACAAGCACAGATTCAAGACTGCTCTAGTCACTAGCAACACCCCGGCGTCTCCGAAGTTCCGCCTTTTCTTTCCTCTCGTCCCGCATGTTAGGAGCTTCGTCTGGTTCTCTCGTCGCGAATTGACTTCCCGGCCCATAACACGAGCAAGACAGCGAGCGACCAAGCAAGGACGTTTCAACTTGACACTGGCAGGACTAGATTGCCTGGCAAGACCTCCTCTCGGCATCAACGCACGTCCGTTGCTGTTATGCTCACTCCCCCTTGCTTGCCTTCCCTGGTGCTAACTTGAGTCGCTCTCAGCCACGAACCCCAACCGGCCACCCCCCCGGCAAACTCGAGCTCCTCCACTCCCGGGCTTCTTTCCTTGTCCGATCCACCCTCTCCACGCAGGGCATCGCCCGACAGACGGAACAGAAAGCAGAGTCCAGGGGCTCCGCCTGTTGAGGTCTGACATCCTTTTCTTCTTACAGAACGTTAGCCTGCAGGAGAACAGCGTAACGGCTAGAGATTCCCATCCGCCGCAGAAGAACTGCCCACTCTTGTCCCCCCCCAGCCTGCCCAAAGGCCCCTCCCCTCCGACTCGAGTCTCGCCCCGACCTCTCCTCTACGCTCCGAACATACTTCACATAGCACCTCCCGCCTGTTTTCCGACACAGCAGGGTGCTCGCTATCCTCGTCTTGTCTGTAAGCATCGGCTCGTGACGCTGCGCTTCTTCAGGTCCAAGGTCCCATACCAAAGCCTCAAGGACGACCAGCAAAGCTTCGCAGCCAGCTTGCCCAGTATGACGTCGAGTAAGTTCTCGGTTTCTCGTGCCTCTCGTGCCACCAAGTCGACCCTTTATTCTCTCTCTTCTCCTTTCAAATCCTCTTCCAATCTATCCGATGTACTATCCTCGACGCCATCCACGCCCCCTTCGCACAAGCGGTATTCGATCTCGACCTCGTCCGATCACACCAAGGCCAGCAGTGGGCAAGAAAGTGCCGAGAACTCGCCTCCAGATCCACCGAAACGTCGCTCGACGCACGAATCTAATCAGCATCAGCCGCTGCCGCCGCCCAGACTGCCGGAGCAAGAGCAAGGACAACTGCAGCCCAGGGACAGTCCCGATGAGGAGAAGTCGGGGCTGCCTGCTGAAGCTAGTGTCCTGTCCGACTTCCATGTTGGGTCGCGGACTGGAGCTGAGGATATTCGACGACTCCGTCATGATGCTCCAGTAGCAGCAGCATTCTCCGAATCGGATGACGAAGATCGTGTGATCAGGCTTCCCGCAAGTCCCACGAAAACCGACGAAGGCTTCCCGTTCGAACAGCAAACGCTGAAACCCACCAATGGAACCCCTCCTGCCCAGACCAAACCCCAGACGCAACCACAGAAGACACAGTCGTCTTCTGCGAGTATAGAACCACAGGATAAGCCAGTGCTTCGTCCTACGCCTCGGAAATCAAGAACTTGGGCCGGCCGTTTGTCCGTGTTTCTACCGTCACTCATACTCCCTTCTACAGACCATTCACCTACATCCTCGAGCGGTGTTCACCGCAAGCCGGTGCCCGACGTTTCTCCCGTCGACAGCGCTCATTCACAGCACCAGAATCCGGGCTTGCGCTCATCCCAGACCTTCGACCTGGGATTCACCTCGTCCACCTCAGCCGACTTAACATTGCGCCACCCAAGCACCATCCCGCATCCCACAACAGCGCCTCCCCCGGTGCCATCTCAACGCCCCCATGATGCACCAACATCCGCCTCTCTGCCCCAGAGTCAGTCTCTCCCCCTCAGAGAGGCTCCTACGTCGGCGGTCAGAGCTCCTTCGCAAAACCGCCTACACAAGGAAAGAAGGCAATCACCACCAACATTAGCACCGCCCTTGCCTCCTCAAGAGGCCTCTCCTCTGCCCCCAGATGCCGGTCAATTTCCCGGCAAATTGCAGAAAGATGCTCCCGAAAACAGGAGGAGA